ATCTCATCCTTGTCGAACAAGAAATATATCTACATATACCTTCAAGAATTATCACTAAAAGAAATATAATACCTCGATTTTCTTTGTGAGGCTACAGGTGTGGACCCAAACACATCATTATGTATCAAGTCTAGGATCCCTTTAGCTCTTCCCCCTATGAATTCAAAAGACACCCATTTTTTCTTCCCGTATAGACAATGCTCACAAAATCAAAACCTATAGAAGAGCTCGGATTTCCACATACCAACTTCTTTTATGTTAAAGTCTCTAGACTTTTTCCACCAATATGACCCAACCTCTTATGCCATAGCACTATGATGTCCTCCTCCATTTGTTTAGATAAGTAGTTTACACCACAAAACACTATGCGACCTAGTAATTTTCACAGTTAACCATGATGTTCTCCTCTTGCAATTACCATAGCTCCCCAAGACTGCTAGCATGAATACTTGCCACTATTGAAAGTGATACTCGCATCTGCCATACTTCCATTCTGGAAAGCCCCATAATACACATTACATCTGATAGATTCTTGATTGTTCCATTATTAATCTTTAGCTTTACCTTCTCATGCCCCATAATACCATGAGTCATGTCATCCCCCATTATGACTGTACCACCAGAATATGATTCATAAGTGCATAACCAATCTTTATAAGGTGTCATAGGAAATGATGCCCCACTATCAATTATCCATTCATTACAATCGCTATGAGATTAACACGCCATATACATATCTCCTATGATATCCTCATCATCCTTCTTTGTACCAAATGATGACTCATCTCGTTTCTCAAGATCTACACTTTTACTTTTGCAATTCTTCCTCAATTGCCCAACATGTATGCACCTCCAGCACCTTCATATTTATCATAGTATTTAGATCTTCCCCCAGTTTTATCTCTATAACCATACTTTGATTTTTCACTAATCCTCCCTCTAAAAAATAGAGCCTCATTAGTGGTGCCTTTAGATCGCATCCTTTTTATCTCCTCAGACAATAAGACAACAACAACAATCTCTAAAGACAATCCATGAATAGCAGCACCAATCAAAACAATGATATGTTCCCAAGAGTTTGGTAATGAACACAATAAAGTGCAAGCTTTATTTTCTTCATCCAGGTTGACATCTATAGATTTAAGTTACCCATAGATGGTATTAAATTATATTAAATATGTAGAGAAAGAATTACCTTAACTTATTCGCAGGTTATATAACCGCCTTCGCAAGAATATTTATTCATGTGTGACTTGCTTTGATAGAGACTTCTTAACTTCGTCCAAAGGTCCTTTGAGGTCTTCTCGGAAGTCATGTTTACCAAAACATTATTTGCAAGGCACAACCAAATCAGGTTTCAAGCCTTTCAATTATCTTGGTCCACTCCTTTGACTCGCCCACCTTTAACATTCCATCATTGACAGTTTTGATTGGTACAATTGACTTCTTATTTTCAACCATGTACCACACCTCTTCTCAACAAGCAAAACCTCTATCTTCAATTTCCATATCTCCAAACTTTTCGACCTTGATTCATGATTCATCGATCGACATCCCTCACAGATTAATTTCACAGGTTTCTTTAAACCAAGAAAACCCTAAATTACTAAAACCCTAATCTGTGACAGGAACTCAAATCGCAGAACCAAAGCCTTGATATCAAATGTTGGCATCGAACAATCACACACATAATTTTAAACAAAAAAGAGATAAGAGAAAAAAGAATGGAGACAAAAATTTATCCTGGTTCACCCAATATTGACTACGTCCAGTAATGTTTCACTACATTCTCATCATTGCACTTGTTATAAAGCACTTTGTTTGCAATAGGAATATAAATTGGCTTAGAAACCTAAACAACAATAGCTATTCATGAGCTCAACCTTAAATTAATAAAAAAGAGAAATACAATAAAATATATTCGAGCGAGATTCTTATTGACTTTCTCTATATCCCGCCAACAAGAATCATCATCTGAATGCAAAATATTAACAATACCCAACAACATAGACTTTGGGAGGACTGTTGTGGATTGGTAGAGGTACTCCACTTAACCCTTTTTTTTATAACATATTGGTATAAAATTGGGACAAGTCAATATACAAGTTTGGCTTAGTTTAAAAAAATAAAATAAAAAATTATGCACAGCCTGTTTGGTGTGTTACGGATGCATGCCTGTAAACATGTTGTTCTGATTAATAAAGAGGGTTTGATCTTCGCTAGGGCGTAGGGCATTAGGCGCATTTTTTCAGTAGCAAAGGAACCAAGGAAGGTGATGGGAATATTTCATGCTATGGTTTCATTTTTAGAGACATTTTTTTTATACTTTGTTTGATAGTTTTGATTGTGGCTTTATTATTCATAGTTGTACCTCTCCACATTATATTAAGAAAGTAACTGGATATTTAGTTATATCTTTTTTTTTTGAAAAAATAATTTTTTTTTTTAAGTTGACTTAGGAAGCCATTAAAACAATTCATTCTAAAATAAGTTAAATGCACTTATATTTTTTAATTATTGGCCCAAAATTTGATCCCGATAATCCATGATATTAAAAATACTTGGAACATTTTTCTGTTTTCATACTTCAATCAAGCGCAATTGTGTTTTTCTCTTTCAATCTCTTTTTTTCCCCAGGGGGTATCCCCACCCATTTGCATGAAATTAATCCCCTTGGTGATCTATAGTGAAGATTTTTATCACTAACCTAAGGTTTTTCCCCTCCGGTTAGGTTTTTAGTCTCAGTTTTTTAAACAAATTTATGATCCAAGTCCAGTTGATGCTTCGCAATGTGCATATAGAGTCAATCTAAAAGATATCCAAATTCAAAAAAAGAAAAGTAAACTTGTTATTATTTCTCTATGGTACGCGGATTTATAAGACATAAAATGTTTTATTTTTTATTTTTATTTGGTAAATAAGGAGAGCAATAGCCCCCGCCCCCCTGCAAAAGAAGAAGAAGAAGGAAGTACAAAGTGTTTAATGAACCAAGGCGAGGATCGCCTCTTAAGTTAGCAGTTAACAAATATATGATCTCTTGAGGTTTATTTTTGAATTACAAGGGAGATTATCATTAATGAATTTATTAAATATAATTTTTTTTTCTTAAATTCAATATTGTTAAAGCTGAGAAATTATATTACTATTATCATCAGGATTATATTTTTATTCAATATACCTTAAATATCGTTAACAAAAAAAATTAAACTCATGCTTTCGTCTATCATAGTAACATATTGAATGTGTTTGTCTTAAAAGTTATGAGGGAAAACTTGGAGGATTATTAGTAGCACTTATTGAAATTAAGCCCATTGTTCCGTAGATTCCCAAGTCTTTATGCGGATATCAGTTATAGATGCAACGATGAATTCAAATTCTAATATAAGACATATGTGGATAAATAATTTTGATCCAATATAATTTTAGGATATTTGATTTTAGAGTAAACACCTTTTTTGGTCCCTAGCAATATTAGCTAAATCCATTTTAGTCCCTGGCAATTGAAAAGTATCAAATTGGTCCCTAAAGTTATGAAAAAAGAGCCACGTTAGTCCTTCTGTCAACTCCTCTGTCACGGTCAAACTAACGGTGCCCATGCGGCACGTTATCTGCTGACGCGGACTCCACGGTGGACACGGTGGAAAGCTGGACGACGACATTTTGAATCAAAAGGATTGCAAAGCTTTCCAAAGGACCAAACGACGTCGTTTTATTCTTGAGAAATCAAGAGGCACTAACACTGCAAGTAACCGTGGAGACTCATTTTTTTCACTAAGTTATTGCATATGATTGGAAGACCATTGTTGACCTCCACTGGAAGCTTCGTTGAACGGTGAGGGTTGTCGAAGACGGTGGTTGCAGGGAAGGCAATCGAGCGTGGACTTTGAAGGTTGTCGAAAGGCTGGTCCTGTGGTGGTGAAGGGAAGTTCGAGTCTGCTGGTTTTCTTACATGTAGTAAGGTAAGTGTTTTTTTTAGAAAATCTTCAATATTTGTGGTCCCCCCTCACCTCATGTTGTCTATTCTTTGTTGGAGGATGGTCCCCCATGTGCGCTCCATTGTGAGTTATCATGGTTAGGGTTTTAAAAAAAAAATACCCATTTATGTATGTGGTCCTCTTCACTACCGGTTTGTAAAGTATATTGCCATTTTTTAGTGCATTGTGGTCACCAATTTTTTAGTGCATGCATAATTTGTAAAGGTGCAATTTTTTTCCACGTTATTGGCTTGTCCCCCCTCTCGGCAGTGATGAGTTTGATGTATATGGTTATTGCCATTTTTTAAATTGGTTTGTGGACCCTGATGTTCGCATGAATTTATTGTAATTTACAGCCCTGTGTTGATTTTTTTTCCAGATGGATGAATACATAGTGATAAGGTATCATCATGGGGGTGTGTTGAAGAGAGATGATAAAGGGGTCCTAACCTATGTAAATGGCAAAGTGGTTGACTTACCTGAGATGGATGCTGACTTCGTCAACCTGCGTGACCTTGATACTCTGTTCAAGGGTTATGGGTATGGGACGTGTAAGCAAATGTTGTGGCTCATGCCAAACACAACAGATTTAGACGTAGGTTTAAGGCCTTTGAATACGGACGCTGATATTGTGGAGATGGTCAAGCCTGCATTGAGTAATGGCAATCTCATAGAAATTTATTTTGAAGATTGCATTGCAACCCCTGTCTATGTTTCACCGGAAGAAGTTATTGCACATGCACATGAGGGTGGCAGTGGTGGAGAGGAGGATGAGGGTGGCAGTGGTGATGGGTTGGAGGATGAGGGTGGCAGTGATGGTGATGAGGATGATAGTGGCAGTGGTCATGAGTTTTCTACTGATTCAAAAGATAGTGTGGAGGATGAGGCATATAAACCTCCTCCACCTATGTATGATACAGAAACAGAGAGTGAAGAGGAGTGCAAGGGGAAGGGTAAAGCTGTCGAAAAAAAAAACAAAAAAGGAAGAAAAAAAAGCAGGTTGAAGAGTTGGTAGGGGAAAATACAATGGAAGAGGATGAGAAGTCAATGTCGTTCGAGGAGGGTGGGTATGGGTATAACTTTGAAGAGTTGAACACGCCTCCTTCAAGTGGTGCTGAAGAGGATGAAAAGGTTGTCAATCCAAAATTTAATGTGCATGAGGAGTTTGGTCATGTACACTTAGAGGTAGGAATGGAGTTTGTGAGTCTTCAATTATTTAAAAATGTTGTCAAAGACTACAGTATTGATCTAGGAAGACAATTCAAGTGGCTGAAGAATGACAAAGTGAGGGCCCGAGCAAAATGTAGTAATGATGAATGTGATTGGATGATTTACTGTTCGTGGAACAACAAAATGAAAGCTTTCCAAATCAAGACTTTTAATAACATCCACACTTGCTGCAGACTTTTTAGAAACAAGAGGGCAAGTAGGGATTGTGTTGCAAAGAAGTTAGAAAAAAGGCTAATGACCCAGCCGAACATGACAAGGGCTGAGGCCTACGACCACATGAAAGAGGAGTACAAAGTTCATGTCCATTTGAAGAAAGTGAACAAAGCACTTCAGAAAGCCAAGGCCAAAATCGAAGGGTGTGAAAAAGAACAGTACGCAAAATTGAGAGACTACTTAGGTGAGCTATTGAGAAGCAATCCAGGGTCTACATGTCAAATGCAAGTGATCCCACAACCTTATCCGAACTCCTCTCCCATATTTTCTAAGTTGTACATTTGTCTGGATGCATGCAAGAAAGGGTTCAAAGCTGGCTGCAGGCCCTTAATTGGTTTGGATGGATGTTTCTTGAAAGGATATTATGGAGGTCAATTGATAAGTGCAGTTGGGGAGGATGCCAACAAAAGTTTCTTTGTCATTGCATATGCAGTTGTTGATAGTGAAACAAAAGAGATCTGGAAGTGGTTTTTAACCCTGTTATAGGAAGACATTGACCCTCACGCAGTGTTTGGATGGAATTTTATTTCTGACCAACAGAAGGTGTGTTAAGCTTGTTTCATTTGAACTTGCTTTAGTATTCAGCCACATATTTGTTTGCTGATTTTTTTTCTTCAGTCAATATACATTTGGTTATTGGTTATTCAGTTATTTGTTGAATGATTTTTTTCTGCTGTTAGTTACCTGCTTATTAGTTATTGGTTTTTTTGTATTTGCATTCAGTGTATTGCTTATTGGTTTAAAAGCCAATGCTGCATTTTCATGATTACACAAACTGCATTTTTTACTGCATTGCTGATGTTAAGTGCATTGCTGATGTTAAGTGCATTTCTGATGTTAAGTGCATTTGTGTTAATGTCAGGGACCAATTAGTCCCCCGTTCAATTTGTCAGGGACCAAAACGACCATCGAGGGAAATTGCCAGGGACCTAATTGATCCTCGTATATTTAAGTCAGCAACACTTTGTGGCAATCTATATATGTTTTTGTGATACCTTTTTTTTTTGGTGTCTGTGTGTAGGGGCTGATTCCAGCACTGCAAGAGGTGATGCCTGGTGCATATCATCGTTTTTGTGATGCAGCACGTTTGGAAGAATTTCATAAAGCAATGGAAAGACAAGGCAATTCAAGCCATGGTTTGGGAGTGTTCAAGATGCACCACTGTCCCCCAGTTCCAGCAATGCATGGCACGGTTGAAAGTAAAGAATGAGGCTGCATGGAAGTACTTGGATGGCATCCAGCCCTCAAGTTGGGTGAAAGCTTATTTCAGCCACTGGCCGAAATGTGATAATATCACAAACAACATGGCAGAGGTATGGAATGCCAAGATCGTTGGATATAGGTCAAAACCGATTATCACTCTATTGGAGGAACTGAGATGCTACATTATGAGGAGGATGGCTGCACATCAGAGGGTGTTAGGAACTGTTCGGGGTAAAATAGCTCCTGCTCAGCAATTGAAACTGGATCAGTTAAAGGTTCTTAGCAATTCATGGACACCCACTTGGACTGGAAATCTGCAGCAAGATATGTATGAGGTCAGTGGGAAAGGTGATAGAGTTGGAGTCAATTTAACAACACATACATGTGCATGCAATGTATGGCAGTTGACTGGACTACCTTGTGAGCATGCTATAGCAGCAATTTGTCACAAAAACGAGCTAGCCGAGAACTATGTCCATCAATGGCTTACAGTTGATGCATTGCATGCCACATATGAGCACACCTTAAACCCAGTGAACTCGGACAAGTATTGGCCTGCATCTAATGAACCCAAACCTCTTCCACCAAAACTGAAAAGGCCAATTGGGCATCCCAAGAAATATAGGAAGAAGGACCCAACTAAAGACCAAGGGAGCATGACAAAGAAAGTTAAAAGGACATATGAAGCCAAGTGTAGTAAGTGTGGTCAGACTGGACACTATGACAAGAGTTGTAAGGGGCCACCAGCTTCCAAAACAGACAAGAGCCAAGCAAGACCACAATCTGTGAGGATTGACACAGACTCAGTAAATGAAATCCCATTAAGTCAAGGAGGCCCGTCAGAAATTGGTAGTTCTCAGGCACAACAAGTCAACTTGAGAGGATGCAGCCCACCTCCTTCAAATCCAGAAGAAGCAAATGCAGTGTTGACTGAAGAGACAATGAAGGCAGCCAGCACTGGCACACGAAGCAGATTTATGCACTTCATGACAACACCTGGTTTCATGCCACCAAGGCGATCCTCAAGAAAATGAGCTGCTGATGAACAAGAACAAGGGAGTAGTGCATGAGCCAACTGAAAAGGAGTGGATATAATGCCCTTTTTTTGTAAATTCTGGCCATTTTTTTTTGAGGCCTTTTACAGATATAATGTAATCATTTTGATGTATGGCCAAGATTGTATTTATAGGCCTCACTTATGATTCCTATTAGTTGGCTTTTATTTGTAATGCACTACTGTTTTGTAGTTCTAGGAAGACAATTATTGTGGATACTGGTTATATTCTATACATGCATGTTAAGTGCCATTTATTTTGATTGATGGCTGATGAATGATGCAGGGTTGATGCATGTTATTATGCACTACTGTTTTCCTGTTTTTTAATTTTTATTTCATGATTTATGCATCTATATCTGTACATGGCTTATTCATTCCATGCATAACTATGCAATAAGTTAGGGACCATTAAGTCCACTGTGCATTTTGTCAGGGACCATAATGTGCCTCGAGTAACATTGCCAGGGACCTAAATGGCCCTCGTGTTTTGCAATCGATAACAACATTATGCATATCAGTATGCAACTTCTATATGTGCAATTCATGAGTTATGCATCTCTATCAGTAGCAATCTAATTAGGCCATATGATAATACACACAAACAGATTGGAACTAACACATAATTTGAATAACATAAAGAATGAGTACTCATTACAATTCACTGAAGGAAAAATACATTTGGGTCACTTGTTTTCACTTTTACCACACTAACAACAAACATACAGATCATTATCATAGCAACACAAGCACCTAAGACCCTAGCTGACCTATCAACTGTCCTAATTTTTTTTGTCCATCCTATCGAACTCCTCCACCATCTTCAGGTATACATCATTCAGTTT